TCATCCAGCATCAGCAAGTATCAGCCAGTTTCAGCCGTATTAGCCAATATAAGCCAGGATCAGCCAATATCATCCAGCATCAGCAAGTATCAGCCAGTTTCAGCCAGTCTTAGCCAGTATCGGCCAGTATCCCGGTATCAGCCAGTTTCAGCCAGTATCAGCCAATATCGCCAGGATCAGCCAGTACCATCCAGCATCAGCAAGTATCAGCCAATATCAGCGAGCATCGCCAGGATCAGCCAAGCTGTTGGCCGATATCAGCTGGCATCAGCCAGTATCATCCAATATCATGCAGTTTCAGCACAGCCAACATCAGCCAGTTTCAGCCAGTCTCAGCCAGTATCAGCCAGTTTCAGCCAGTATCAGCCAGGATCAGCCAGTTTCAGGCAGTATATCAGCCAATATCATCCAGTATCAGCCAATATCGGCCAATATCAGCCAGGATCAGCCAGTTTCAGCCAGCATCAAGCAAGCATCAGCCGGTTTCAGCCAGTATCAGACAGTATCAGCCAGTATCAGCCAAGACAAGCCAGCATCACAAGCTGTTTAGCCAGTATCAGTTGGCATCAGTAATATCAGGATCAGCCAAGATGATCCAACATCAGCAAGTATCAGCCAGTTTCAGCAAGTATCAGCCGATATCAGCCAGGATCAGCCAGTTTCAACCCGAATCAGCCAATATCAGCCAGGATCGGCCAATATCATCCAGGATCAGCCAGTATCATCGTATCAGCCAGTTTCAGCCAGTATCAGCCAGGATCAGCCAGTTTCAGCCAGTATCAGCCAATATCATCCAGGCACAGCCAAGCTGTTGGCCAGTATCAGCTGGCATCAGTCAGTATCAGGATCAGCCAGTTTCATCCAGCAATATCATCCAACATCAGCAAGTTTCGGCCAGTTTCAGGCAGTGTCAGCTGGCTTTGCACGGTTTTGGGTTTTGCTTGTGCTTTTGGCGGTTATTGGTCATTTCAACATTTCGATTCCGGTTGGGAAAGAGCCCAAATGACACCGCCGGAGATTGAGCCCGCGACCCTGCCCAATACGCCCTCCTGAACGGCTGCCTCCAGTTTCGTCTAGTCGCCCATAGCTCAGCGGGTAAGCGGATGGCTTACAAGCCCTTCTGGAAAAAGGGCGCGGGCTCAAACCCCGGTGGTGTCATTTAGAATTTTTGACGTTAATAAGGGCTTAATAAGGCTTTAAAAAGGCTTTAATAAGGGCTTAATAAAGCCTTAATAAGCCTCTTATAAGCCTTAAATAAAGCTCTAATAAAGCTTTAATATGGCTTTAATAAGGGCTTAATAAGGCCATAATAAGGGCTTAATAAAGCCTTAATAAGCCTCTTACAAGCCTTAAATAAGACATGGCTTTCATAAGGGCTTAATAAGGTTTTAATAAGGGCTTAACAGCCTTGTTTAAAGCTTTTAAGAGGCTGATTAAGGACTTATTAAGCCCTTATTAAGGCTGATTAAGCCCTTATTGAAGCTTTTCACAGCCTTATTCAGGCCTTAGCCATATTGAAGAAGCCGTATTACAGCCTTATTGAAGCCTTATTAATCCCTTATTACGGCCTTATCAAGCCCTTATCAAGGCCTTATGAAAGCTTCATTCTAGCCTTATCAATACTATTGTAATACGACTGTACCACTACCTTACTGCAACTGTATTATTGTACTACTATTATGCTACTAGTGTACTACTGTACCACTACTGTACTACCCTACTACACTACCACTACCACTACCACTACCACTACCACTACCACTACCACTACTACTACTACTACTACTACTACTACTACTGCTACTACTACTACTACGACAACTACTACTGTACTACTACTGTACTACTGCACTACTACTGTACCACTACTGTACTACTACTGTACTACTACTGTACTACTACTGTACTACAACTGTACAACTACTGTACTACTACTGTACTACTACTGTACTGCTACTGTCTACTACTGTACTACTACTGTACTACTACTCTACTACTACTGTACTACTACTGTACTACTACTGTACTGCTACTGTACTACTACTGAACGACAACTGTGCTACTACTGTACTACTACTGTACTACTACTGTACTACAACTGTATTACAACTGTACTACTACTGTACTACTACTGTACTACTACTGTACTAATACTGTACTACTACTGTACTAGTAACTAGTAGTATACTAATTAATAAATCAATATGTATTAGCTTTCCCTCGAACAGGTTTCCCCCAATTCCCCAAACAAGGTCTTGTATTGCTTTAAACGTTCAACCCCCAAATAGCGCGGAGTTTGGCTACACACCCCCAATTAGACAGGCTCACCCGATCTCGCCCGGAAAAACCTGACCTTGAATAAACCCCCATGCCCGCCCCCCCCATTAGAAGGGTCCACTGGTACTGTACTACTACTGCACTACTACTGCACTACTACTGTACTACTACTGTACTACTACTGTACTACTACTGTACTACTACTGTACTACTACTGTACTACTACTGTACTACTACTGTACTACTACTGTACTACTACTGTACTACTACTGTACTACTACTGTACTACAACTGTACTACAACTGTACTACTACTGTACTACTACTGTACTAATACTGTGCTACTACTGTACTAGTAACTAGTAGTATACTAATTAATAAATCAATATGTATTAGCTTTCCCTCGAACAGGTTTCCCCCAATTCCCCAAACAAGGTCTTGTATTGCTTTAAACGTTCAACCCCCCAATAGCGCGGAGTTTGGCTACACACCCCCAATTAGACAGGCTCACCCGATCTCGCCCGGAAAAACCTGACCTTGAATAAACCCCCATGCCCACCCCCCCCATTAGAAGGGTCCACTGGTACTGTACTACTACTGCTGCACTACTACTGTACTACTACTGTACTACTACTGTACTACTACTGTACTACTACTGTACTACTACTGTACTACTACTGTACTACTACTGTACTACTACTGTACTACTACTGTACTACTACTGTACTACTACACTACTATACTGGTCCCCAAACAAGGTTCTCCGGGACCTTGAACAAGGTTTCCCCCAAACCCCCCCAACAAGGTTCTTCCACTTAATCGTTTCGGGGGTTTTGGGGGCGGGGTGTCCGACCTTGTGACCTTGATAGCGGGGGGGGGGGGCCCCCCCCTTTCTTAATCAGGTTCCCACATTAGCTCCTCCAATATCAAAGGTTAGTAGTATATAAGGCCAAAAAGTTTAAAGTTCCCCCGTTCACTATCTAAGAAGGCCATGGCACCACTCAGGCCCCACTGGCAGTCGCAGTTCTGTCCTGCGCCAGGTTGCCGAAGCGGAGCTACAGCGGTCTTAGGGGGTTTTAGGGGTTTAAGGGTTTAGGGTTTTAGGGGTGTTAGGGGGTTTTAGGGGGTTTCAGGGGGTTTTAGGGTTTAGAGGTTTTAGGGTTTTAGGGGTTTTAGGGGTTTAGAGTCTTAGGGTCTACAAAGACCTTCCAATGTCCCTTAATTGGGGAATATACCTGAATGCATACTAGAGCTCCGAATAGACATAAACTGTAGGGTCTACCTACACCTTCCAATACCCACTAAATAGGGAGTATACCTGAACACATACTAGAGTTTGCAAGACCTATACCCTCCATTGCAGCTCCGACCTTGGGCTACCCTGCCTCGACCCTGCACTGATGAACCTACCGTTTCGAGGACCTGTTACCAGGAAACCATATAAGGAGCCCCCCCCTCCCAAACAAAAAAATCTAGGTTTCGGGGGTTCAAGTAAACCCTAGGTTATACAGGGACTCACATAATTTTGATTACCCCACCTGCCCTCAACGGTAACCCTAAGCCATCATACCGCTACAGCCTTTTCATTGCATGCAGCCCGAGTCCTGCAAGGCCACCAAGCGCCATGGCTGGTACAAGGCTTTAGGAGCAGTCGGCGAAGGATGTCTTGAAAAAGGCTTGAGCCATGCAGGTATACAGCATATGGTATCTATGGTAAACAGTATGTAGTAGAGTACAGTGCAGTAAAGTAGAGTATGGTGTAATAGTATACCGGAGAGAAATTCGTTCCGCATCACTCGCACCCCACTACAAGACGACAAACATGTTCATGGACTGAGCTGTCGGGCTTTCTGAATCATAGCCTTTTGTGTGTAGGGTGTGGGTCCGGGCAACCCGCCAAAGGCATAGCATGAGGGGGCCGCAGTGACTAGAATAAGGGTTTGGGTATCGTATTCTCGGGCCGTGATGGGGAAGCCTAACCCTAAGGCTCAAAATCGACCAAAAGCCTTATATAATATGGTCTTTAGGCCCAAAAGCCGTAAATATGAGTCCTTAGAGCCTTTGGGTAAAGAATGGCACCACTGGTTGTTCAAGCCCCAGCGCAACGTCTTCATGCCTGTGCCCCTTGAGCATTTACAAGTAAAGTGCCCGTTTTGTACGGAATCCTACGGGTCCGTGTACCCGAATAGTATGGCCTTGAATGAGTCCCTATACAGACACTAAAGGACTCAATGATATAGTATACATGGCCCCTTAAACTTAAAACCTAAACCCCTATAGCCCTTATAGCACCCTTAAAGCAACCCTACTTTCAATGGGCACATGGACCCTTAAATTTAGACCCCAAGCCCTTGTGGTCCCTACAGAATCCTTACAAGCAACCCTAATTCAAAATTCCATTGGGTACCAGGATTAAACCCTAAACACGTATGGTCCTTATGGAACCCTTAAAGCAACTTTAGTTCAATTGGGCACTGGACCCTTAGTCTTTCCCGAAGGTTCAAAATAGCCCGAAAGCCTTTTATAGTATGGTCTTTGGGCCCAAAAGCCTTAATATATGATTCCTTTGAGCCTTAGTCTTAAGACCTACCCTTTTAAGGAACTCTCTCTCTCTCTCTATATATATATATGTATATATATATATAACTCATAACAAGGAATCCTAAAAAAGTAGGTCTTTTCGGCTACAGGTTAGTCTTAGGGTTTGAAAAAGAAAGCGGCGGCCTCCGGCGAGCAGCACCCGGTGCAAGTGCTGAGCAACACAATGTGTGGTCCTCCGGCTTGGCTGGGAATGCTTTGGGGCTTTAGGATTTATGGTTTAGGGTTGAAGGGTTTAAGTTGAGGGTTTGGGGGCTTGAGGGTTTAAGGGCTACGTAAGGGTTTAGGGTTTAGGTTTTTATGGTTTTGGGGTTTAAGGTTTAGGGGTTAGGGTACAGGGTTTAGGGGTTTAGGGCTTGGGGTTTAGGATGACTTGGGGTTTAGGGTTTCAGGGTTTGCTCAGCGTTTAGGGGAATGGTTTCTGTCAGTGAGCATAAGAGATGCGCGTAGGCCGATCGGTCGGTCGGTCGATAGGTAGTTGGGTAGGTACATGGGTCGGTATAAGTCCCTCATGTTTTTGTGTGCGCGCTGTGTGTGTGTGTGTACGTGAGTGTGTGCTTGCTAATGTGTGGGTGTGTCTCTGTGTGTGTGAGTGTGTCTGTGAGAGGGTGTGAGTGTATGTGAGAGTCTGTGCGTGTGCCCGCACCCTACCATTCTACCGACACGAGCGGGAGACTTGATACTTATAGGCTGTGTGGACTCAGAGGACTCATGTCGCTCTTGGTTCAGGTTGTAACAATGTAACTGCAAGGGCCTTCTTTGGCCAAGTCTCGAGTGGCTTTGACCCACTGTCGCTCTGCAGATATTCAAAGCCCATCGGAGCAGTTCGGGCGCCTGTCTCACGTGATTGGCTTCCGTTTCAGAGTTGCACTCAGGGGCTGGCGGCTAGGAAAGGGCTCACAGGCTTTGTGCATACGGCTTCAGTCTACCTGAACCGGCAACCTTACACTCTAAACTCCACGCTCGTCTTATCAGACAATACCTACGGTTTCGGTCAAGCCCGCACTCAGTTAGGAAGTATGCTGAAGCGCCTACACAAACACACAGAAACGCAACGAGAGTAAAACATTCACTGCATGATGTCGTCACGCTTTCCGCTGAACTGACTGGCCGAAGACTCACCAAATAGAAGAGGGAGACGAGCCAAAAAGGACATGATCTAACGAATGCTCTGTCATTGCTGTATATATGCGTCCCTTGACCCTTCCAGCTGCTGGCAGCATAGACATGTTCATAGTCTGCGGCTTGTGACTCCTATGAGTCTGTGCAGGTTTAACATTGTCAGTACCATCACTGTGATTGGGATTGTTGCAGCGCTCTCATCTGTTTGGTATTGCATGTCTCTCAACATCCTGCATGCTGTACGAAGGGGCACATCAAAGAATCGTCCCCGACCTAGCGTCCCAACTAACGAAAACTGCGCAACACCCATGAACACATGGTTGCAGGGGGTAAGAGAAGGGTGCGGGAGCATAGCGGGAGAGTCACCTTGAAGCTACTGATATGGACCAATCCGAGTTGGCCTACAAGCAAAGCAACAATGACTTAAGAGCCCTCGGAGAGACATTGTAGCCCTACTTACGAAGTCCCCTGATCCCCCAAATACGTGACCATATTCGATCGAAACCTTTAATAAACCCTCAACCCTAACTACACCTTAAACCCTAAACTTTAAAGACCCTAAAACCCATAAACTTCCCACCCTAACATTCCAAACTCATCTGATTATCCTGAACGCGACAAAAGTCAGTAAAAGCTTGCTGCTTGGAGGTTCATGGGTAGTTGTAGGAGTATAAGTATATGGGATGCTTATAATATATGTAGAACCTATATTCGGGGATATGTAGTTAACCCCATTTGCTTATAACTATCCGTGACCCTCACAGTGTGGGCTGACAACACTGCAAACCTGCGTGGGGTTGGTGACTTGCAGGGTTAGGGGTTGCTGTTCAGGGGTACGTCGGGGGTAGTTCAGGGTATCAGGCTCAGTAGCGGCTCACACAGAAAAGACAGATACCTACACCCTACACGGCACTACACCCTGCAACCTGAAAGCCCTTAAGCTCTAAACCCTTAAAAATCATAAACCCTAAACCCTCAAAACCCTAAAACCTAAACCCTGAAAGCCCTTAAGCTTGACCTTTGTCTTGCCTTAGAAGCCCGTAACCAGATCGATCCTGAACTTTCAAACTAGGCTGGGCTCTTGCAAGGAATTTGATTTACTATAGCTCCCCATATTATGGAAACTCAAATTAAATACCTTAACAAGAACCCAGCAGGCAGTGACAGGAAGTGTTAGTGGCGCCTGCGGGACGCCAAGCGCGGCGCAGTTGGCGGCTGCGCTGGCAGCCCCTGACAGAGAAGTCAACGACTTCGAACGTGACAAATGGCTCCTTGCTTCAGGCACCGAACCGTCGTTCAGGAACGGATCAAAATTCAAAAACGACAGCCCCTAACTTTGTAAAACCTGAGCCCAGACCCTGAACCCTCAAACCCAAGCCCTATGAACCCCAACTAAACAAATGCCTGCACTGTAGCAACCAACTACAATATGCCCCGAAACCCCATTCTAATTATTTGGCATATATACTAGAACCCTCACACGACCACAGAAAGACCCCTTAAAAGGGAACCCTATAAGAGAGAGAAGCCTTATTACGGAACTCTTAAAAACCTCTTTAAAGGGAACCCTATAACATAGAGCGCTAAAAGACTCCTTTTAAAGGGTTTAGCTTCAGGGTCCCTAGAAGAGACGCCTTCAAGAAACCTTTAAAGACCCCTTCAAAGGGAACCCCGTAGTATACAGCCCTTGAAGACTCCATTAAAGGGCTCCCCATAAGAAAAGCCTTACAGTAGAAGCCAAAACGTTGGAAACCCAATAGCCTCAATCCTTAAGAGTCATGTATAGGGAATCCCAGCACTAATTGTCCTGAATCCGGTTTCCAACTTTTGGGGGTTTACTGTAAAGGAACCTTATGAGGAGGCCAGGGCCTAGCGGTGTTGGGCCGAGAACCATGGGCTGCTGCCACTGCCCGGCCTGCTTGGTATAGGTTTAGGGCTGAGGGTTCGGGTTTGGGGCGTAGGGTCTAGGGTTGACGGTTCGGGGTTTAGGGTTTAGGTTTCGGGTTTAGGATCTTGGGTTCATGGGTCGTTCCCTAAACCCTGAACCCTAGATGTTCTCAGTGGCCTTGAAGGTTAAAGGGCTTATAAGATCATGGGTTGCTATAAGTCTAAGTAGGGCGTAAAAGAGTCCTTTAAGGGATCTATAAGGGCTCTACTTAGTGGCCTTAAGGACTCAGGGTTCAGGGTTTAGGAGTTAGGGGCTTAGGGTAGTTATAAGTGGAGTTAAAAGTCCCGTAGTATAGGTTATAGCTATTGTTTTCCACCCTACTTATAATTCGTCCAGGGTAGCCCCTTTATGATAGAGGTATCCTTTTTGCAACTATTCGGCTTCAACAAGGGGACCCACCCTCAAATAAAAAGGGCAAATGGGTACTACTCTAAAACCTAGTATAACTACCCATGAATTCCAAAGTCGACGGGAAGGCAAAGATGGTCAGGTTTAGGTTTTAGCGATTTTTTGTTTTTGAACCCTCGTGTCTTTTGGCCGATCGCCGCAGGACTACCAATGTGGTTGAGGGGCCGGGCCACTAGCGGAGCGGGAAACTGAGAACGGAGATCTTGGCGAATTCGCCTGTCAGACGGCTCGTTATGAAGCCGATGTCCTCAGTCGAAAGGCTCTCAGCACCGAGGAGACTGAGAAACTGAGACTGAGAAACTCTCCCGAAGCATCATTCTCGCCGGAAGCCATTGTGAGTTGTGGACTCTCGAAGTCCGTTCCCTTACCAAGTCTTTATCGAACCTCCGTGAAGTATTTTTAGTATAAGCTCTCCTTACAAAAGCCGGCATCTGAACTTTCCATATATCCATGAGCTGCGCTAAATAATGAGCCACTTGAGCCTAGCAGTTTAAGGCTTAAGGCTTGAAGGGTTTAGGGCTTGCAGGGTTTAAGGTTTATCGGTGAGGGTTTCGGGTTCAGGGTCTACGATAAGCTGGGCTAGGAAACTACTTTGAAATTACTAGTTTAGAAGCGTCACAGGAAATACCCACCCACCCAGAGAATCCTATAACACTAGGAAATCGAAAGTGCACGTTTGATTGCCTAGAGGCCTCAAGCATGAACACTCACTGCGCAAACCCACAACACCAAGGCCTCAATCCTGAACCCTAAACCCTAAACCTTGGCCTAAGCCCCCGAGTTTCATCAAGATCAAACCACATGCGAAGGAAAAACGTATTTTTACTGTCACCTTTTACCGTCTGCAGGTCGGAACCCTTGGAGTTGAAGGTTCTGAGCTTGAGGCTTTGGGTCCTAGGGTTCAGAGATATGCACCGGGAGAACAAAAACTGACCTGCTGTCGAATTACGTGGCCTGGCCAGCGGAGTAATCTATACACCGTCTTTTCAAGCATAATCTGCTTTTGTTCTTGGTTGCAGGTTGTGTTTTGGGTTGTAGCTTCTGCGGTGGTGTTGTCTCGGGCTAGGGCTTCTGGACGTTGGTCGCCGGAATCTGAAGCCTAAGTTCTACTGCCAAGGTGCAAGCCCAAGAAAACGTGCCAAAAGACTCTTCAATCCGAAACCCAAACCTCCGTATACACCCTAAACGCGCAACCCTATGAACCCTGAGCCCACAACCCTAAACCCTCAAGCCGGACCTTAGCAGTTGCCAGCTCTTCGCTGGCCCACTGGATGTAGTCAGGCAGGACCTTCCATCCGGGGGGGCAGGTGTCTACACACAAGGGTCTTCTGCATTCAAGAAACCCCAAACCCTAAACCCTACAGAACATCACGCCCTGGTGGCGTGTTTTTTCGCGTGTTCGTGTTTTCACTTGCACTCAGATGGCAAGCTCAGGAAGCTCTTCGCTTCCCGCACATTGTTTCAGCAGCATACAACATTTTACGACGTAGTGTGAATTGACAACACATTCCACCAAACCATTTGAAAATGTTTGGGCATAACCGAACACCGGTTCGAGAGTGATAAAGTTATGGGACAAACTTTCAAGGACATAAGGGCATGGCCTTAAGGTGTGGCTCTAGGCCTAGGAGTGTGGAGGCCTGGAGGCCTGGAGGCCTGGAGGCCTGGAGCCCTGGGGGGGGGGGGGGCTCCAAAAAAAAAAAAATGTGTGCAAAATCTATGGTCCATTTTTTTTTTTTTTTGCGCCCCCCCCCCGCCCCCAGGGGCCTTCTGGACGGAGATCCGGAGGGCGCATGTCTGTAAGCAGAGGATGCCTGGGGCCTTCGGCCTTTGGCACTCCCAATCCAGTGTTACTCAATCATTTCAGGGTTTCTAGTATGCCACCAATCCTGTCCTATCCAATGAAACATCCCTCTGTCAAGACTTTACGCTTGCTATTGTTGTCCACCACCTAGGAAAGCGGCTCCAACACCTGAAAACTGTGACATGGGTTACTGATGACACTCATACATGACAGAAGTATGATGGGTGATTCACTCTACACAGTAAAAGTATGATGGGAATAGGATCCTTGTACCGCGACACAAGTTCAGAAGGAGTTATTGGGCCTCGAACCCAAATGCATATGATGGTCTGAACCGTCTCAAGAGATGCTGGGTGGCGAACCCAAAACCTTAGACTGAAAGTCGTCATTGGCTTCCAACATTCTTGGACATCGTAGAAGATATTGGACCCTCACCCGGAAACTTAGACAATGCCAGCAAAAATTGCAAGCTACAAAATACTTGTTACATTTGAATCGGAACATATATAATTACCTGCAAGCCAACCTTGGTATACATATAGGTGTTTGTACCTACAAAAAAATGTATATATGTATCTATATACACGTCTGTGCATGCATGTTGGTATATGACATGCAGGCATGCATACACACCTACATATGGATGTGTATGTTTACATACACACATGTTCATGCTGTTTCCATGTTCATGTTTCTGCAAAACTTATGCACACATACATATATGCTTAGTACATATGAACATACACGGGGTTATACGTACATACATAAGTATCACGGAAGCATGTGCAATATTTCTGAAATATGCGAACATATGTGTATGCAACAATGAGGCATTTAGGCAGCCATGCACTCAAAGGAAAATGGAGGGCCTCAGGCTCCTATCCCAAAGCCCTAATGGGCATGGTGGGTAGAGGATGCGGAATCTCAAATCTGTGTGGAAGCACGTCCTCCATACCTGTACATATATACATCTACATATACATGTATATATACATATATATATGTGTATATGTATATATATATATACATATAGATATGCACGTATACAAGTTCATGCACTCTCGAAGCCTATGCAACCATATACAAGTTCGTGAACTTTGGAAGCCCATGCACGAGCACACACATGTATATGCATATATCTACATATATATATATATATGTATGTATATATACATAGGTTCTTTTGTGATATACATGCAAGTACCGGGGTATGTAACCGCAAGGCCACTCTGCAGTTGCACACGCGATGTAAATTGGAACCTTGCAAGCATATTATGGGTGGATGACACATGTATACACACATACACACACATATAACCTTGTGTGTATCACGGGAATGGGTAATTACATTGTCTTTCGGATTTACATGGAAGTGGGCGGATGATGGCGAACAACAGGTCTTCAATAGAATAACTGATTAACATGCCCTATTACACCGTAAGCTAATCCTTAAAAGGTGTGGCCCACCCAGCCAGAAATGCAAATCACAGTAGGGGATGCTGGGAGACCACCAGAATAAAAACCAGAGTCTGAACACTTTAGCACATATCACGGGCTACACTTATCCACGAAAGATATATAGTGTGTAGCGAACCTAAGTACCGAAAAGGATGACGTGTGTCCGGAGCATCCAAACTCTACTGGAAGACATTCGGCTGAAACGCAATGCCGCACATGGATGTAATGAGCCAAACCCCCGTAGAAGTTCGATGAGTGGCGGAACCACAACTGGATCCTCAAATCGATGACTGATTTCCCAAATACAGGCAGACTAGAAGATGTTGCACTCTCAATCCAAGGCTTCAATAGTAGATGAAGGGTAGCAAACCCAAAAACTCTTTCAAAGGTGGCAAACCCCTCAGAGCTTTATAAGTGTAGGAGTGTAGAGATTCTTTTCGCCACGGCTTCAGATGCGGTTGTACACATCGATGACGGTCTGCCTGTCAATATAGTCTTTTAGCATTTATGCTGCAGCCCACGCCACTATTTCATTCCCTAGTTGAAGACATGATATATACGATAAGTGGCAGGTCAACATTCGTATGCACATGTAAATATACACATTTCCATAAACACGCATCCATTCAAGTCAGATGTGGATAGACACCCAGGGGTTGTGATGGATTTTAATGATTTCGACATGATATGCCAGATCACGCACCTCAACTTCAATGGAGATGCTGGATGGCAAACCATCTCCCTCTTCCCCAACAAACTCCTACTTCGTGACATGCCCAAGACTCAAACTCAAGGGTGCAATGCCTGGATGAGGCAACACAACGCTTAAAATTCTGGGTGCAAAAACTCGTGTGAAAACCTCTAAATTACCGAGAAATACACGCCACCAGGGGGTTGCACTCTCCAGACCCTATAGGGTTTAGGGTTTAATGTTTCGGGGTCTGGGCTTAGGGATCATTGGGTATCGGGACTTTATACTGTTCAGAGTTTGGGTTGCAGGTTTTGGGGAGCTTGTTGAATGTCTTCCAGCACTGTGCTCAAATCGGAAATATCATGTGAACATACAGTTGCGCCGCAGCTGGTCGCCGATCGCTTCCATCTAGGCCTGCTTTTGTTCCGCCAGGGTTCAACACTGGCTCCATGCGCCTAAAAAGTATACAGTGCTTAGGCCTTAGGCCTCAAAGTACCCATAAAGGAATCCCCTTAAGGCCAAAGTATATACTCTGTATGTATATATATATATATATATATATATATATATATATATATATTGTATGTACGTGTTCAGGGAGCCTTAGTCCTTGGGGTAGGGGGAACCACTGGTGGGACGGAATGTCTGCGCACCTCGCGATAGGCTGCGGCAGCCTCGTCCGTGCGCCCTGGACAGTTTCAGGGACATGGTGCACGAAAGTCGATGAAGCCCTACTTGGAGGGTCGGGGGACTTAGTAACTGGTTATTTTAGGGACTTATAAGTACCATAACCCCAAGTAGGGTCCCTTTTAGGGCACTTATGAGTCTACTTACTACCTACTTACTAAGTCCCCCGACCCTCCAAGTAAACCCTGAACCCCGAGATCCAACAAGAATCGCCATGGCCATTCAAACGAAAAAGACAGACGTAGCCGCGAAGTGGTCGAAAAGACCTGCCTAGCCTCGTCTCAGTTTGGTTTTTTTTTTTTTAATGTGCAGTAGCCCCTTTGATCCACAGTTTGGGGTTTAGGGTTTAGGGTTTCAGGGTCATCGTTCGCATTGGACTGAACACGACACCTTAAGCCCATAACCTCTCCGTCCCTACAACCATTTCATGCAGACTGCGTGAGTACCGATATTTTTCCTTAGGGCTCCTGATTATCACTAGAACAAACCCAGAACCCAAGACCCCATTCTACTGATTTAGGACCCTTTATTATATGGGGGTTTCCGAAAATAGGGGACCCTAATATAGTACCTAAATAGTAGGATCCTTATTCTAAGGACCCCTGAAGAAGGCACCCCTAATATTCGGAAACTATCATATCAAACCTAAAACCCTAAACCCTAAACCCTAAACCCTAAACCCTAAACCTAAAACCCTAAACCCTAAACCCTAAACCTAAAACCCTAAACCCTAAACCCTAAACCCTAAACCCTAAACCCTAAACCCTAAACCCTAAACCCTAAAACCCTAAACCCTAAACGCTCTAGTCAACCGCTAGTTACTCCTGCCCTGGAGCCCGAAGGCCCCAAACTCTGAAGCCGAAAAGGCCCCAGCCCATAGTAATCCTTAGGGTTCCTTTAAAGGGTTACTATTAGGTTACTATAAGGTTTCCTTTAAAGGGCTCTATAAGGGTCTAGAGTTTCCGAGAATTACAGTAAACCCCAAAAAGTTGGAAACCGGATTTAGGCCAAATAGTGCTGGGATTCCCTGTAGATTACTCTTAAGGATAGAGGCGATTATGTTTCCAACTTTTGGGCTTCTACTGTAACCCTTACAGCACGAAACCTTGGATCTCGCAACATGCACTGGCCTTGCAACTGAAGGCAAAAAGCCAAGCTCGCCTGGCCTCCAGGGTTCTGTTGCTACGTTGGATGGACAAAATTACCCTAAGTAGGATATGGTACGGGCCATGCAGGATTTTGTCTATCAGCGATGTCAGTCTAGGCTCTACGGCGCATTTGGCGTAGGCTGAGAACTGTCCATCTCTCTCGCCATCCGTCTGAATCTATCTACCCAGACCTTCCAAAATCCCTTAATTAAGGAATATACCTTAGTTCACACTATAGGGATCCTATCATAATTTAAGGTATATTCCTGAATAAAGGGATTTTGGAAGGTCTGGGTACCTGTCTATCCCCAGTTCCTACAGAGAACCTGCCGGCAGATTGAGGCCGTCGCCAAAAAATGAAATCCAAACCCGTGTCGGGAGCTTCGATGTTCTCTATACAGCCTCCTGTGGCTTACACTCTTCTGCTATGACAGGGCCCACGAAAGTTCAAACTTTCTTAGATAGGCCGTGTGTATATATATATATATATATATGTATATGTATATATGTATGTATATATATATATATATATATATACACTTATCTTTTTCATATTTAAGGCCACGAACTTTAAGATCTTCCGACTGGCTATATCAGTTTACCCTACTCACGGAACAAGATAATCAAACTCAGGCACCTTGGTGTTTTCAGCCAATCCCTCAAGTCCCAAACCGTAAACCCTAACGGGTGGAGGGTTTAGGGGGTTAGGGGTTAACGGCCGGCCCGCATCGTAGTCTAAGCCCAGTCATACTGCTGATGGACACAATCCTGCATTGCCCAGTATAAGGAATATACCATAGGTTCCAATGTTTAGAGTCCTTAGGGTCATGCAGGAATTTGTCCATCAGCAGTAGTCCAAGAAGAAGCCCTTAAGATTCCGGACCCCTGAAGCCGGTCCTAAGCATCGCAAGGTGCTCTAAGCAAAAGACGGGCAAGCGAACTCGTTGGTAGAGGCGTCGAGGCCTTTCTGTCCTCTGGCAGTTCGGGTTTGGGAATCTTTCCCGGTGCACTTGGCTGACGGATTTCGGTTACCAATTCCAAGGGTTTAGGTTACTCTGTTCAGCTTGCCGGATCTTGGGCTATCTACATGGGGAAGTTCTGGGAGCATGCAAGCACCCGTCACACGAGCTTGAAGCCCAAATGCCGCGCGTTCAAACTCAGAGGTCCTCCCCACTCCTCTGCAGGGCCCTACATGAATCATTACTTAAAGGGTCATGGGACTTAGAAACTAGGGTTATAATTAGGGTAACTATACTTATAATTACTTATAACCCCAAGTAGAGTACTTATAACCTTACTTGCTAAGTCCCATGATCCTCCAAGTACCCTCAGGCTCTGATGACTTCTATTGTCAGGCTTTTGCGCCCGAAGACCCTACTATATAAGGCATGCCCTAAGGTTCAAAATGGCCCGAAAAGCCTGATATAGTATGGTCTTTGAGCCCAAAAGCCTTAGTATATGAGTCCTTAGAGCCTTATAGGGATAAGGCTTTTGTTGTATTTTGAGCCTTAGGGCCAAGTCAGGGTTTTGGGAGATGTCTTATACCACATTGATATCCACGGATCATAAGGAACAAGGGCTCCGCGGCTTTCCTTGATGGTTGCGGCTTAGGGTTTATAGGCTTTTAGGATTAAGGAAGTTTAGGGTTTATCGAGTGTAGGGTTTTAGGGTTTAGGAATTATAGGGTTTAGGGATATTAGAGCTTCAGGGTTTAGGCCCTAAGAGACCAGCGACAGGAAAGAGGAATCTCTGATCTCAGGCCAAATTAAAAACGGACTCCGCTTCCCGGCGCTTAGAAGGGAATGCGGGAATGGATCCCGATTGTAGCCCTTTAAGGTCCGTTATAGTAATCCCTACACCAGAGTCCCTCAAGGACTGTCATAGAAATCCCCTACACTAAGAGTCCCTTTTCGTAAATCCCCAAAAAGTGGAAACCGGATTCAGGACAATTATAGGAGCCCGAGGCTGCCTGCTACTTATAACTTATAACACATTGGCCTCCGCGTCGCTTGTTCCACCACTCAGCCCGCTTCTTGCCACGGGTTCCTCGCTTTAAGCGCCAGTATTGCAGTATTGCGGCCCCGCCGGTCGTTTCCCTGAGTAGAGGGCCCGGTGGTCTGTCGCACGTGTCTGCCCACAGCTGGCTCGGCCCGACATAAGCTTCCAGCTCGTCCCAAGCTCCTTTAAAGCTCTGGGAACAGCCCAGTGTCCAGTCCAGTCACCTCGTATCCTGCCTACCTGCCTATAGTTATTGCGATTCTACCCACCTATCTATTTGCGTCTATGCATACTGCCAGCAAATTCCCTGCCCATGCCTGGCCAGCTTTCTCCTCATCACCTGCTATCCCTCACCTCCCTAGCTGAACTTGTAGTGCTGGGATTCCCTATACATGTCTCTTAAGGATTGAGGCTATTGGGTTTCCAACTTTTGGGCTTCTACTGTAGGTCTGTTATAATAATCTCAACCCTAACCCCTAAACCCTGAACATCTACACTAAGAACAAGGGAGTCCTTCTGGCTGTCCAGCAGGGACCGAAGAATGCCTTCGGCCTGGCAAGAGGGAGGCAGGCAATGCAATCCAAAAGCATAAGCCGAAGGCCCAAACCGTCAGTGTAAAATTTAGACCACAAAAGCCTAAACCCTATTAAACCCTATCAAAGCCTATTCCGTAAATCCCTGCCGAAGCCTCAATCCAGTCCAAAAACACAACCACAAAACCCTAAACCCTAAACCTAATGAAACCTATTTGTCCGTAAATCCCTTACACCCAGAACCCGAGGTATTCGAACTGGCAATTCGGGAATTCAATACTCTATGGTTCAGCATATGAGCTGCTGGCACCTTGTCGCTATCAGCACTTGGAGGTTCATGGGTAGCTATAGGTAGGGTATATAAGTAGGATAACTATACTTATGACCTATATGAGAGTACTTACAACTCCACTTATAACTACTGTACCCGTGAACCTCCAAGTACTGACTTATATTGCTCAAGAACCATACCTTCGTCACTCTCTCGCATGTCCTCAAAAACGATCAGTGCTGGGCCTGACAGACCTCCCCAACAGACCAATGATCAAGGACCCTGTATTGCAGAGCGGGCCCGAATGACAGCAACATTCCTAAACCATAAGCCGTCAACGCTAATCCGAGCAGTCTGAGAATACGTGCCCTGTGCAGGCATTACACTGTTACAACCCTTCGAGTCCTACAATCCTACAACTAAGCCCAATTGACCCCAACCTTTCCAAAGCCAGCCGGAACCCTTATCCTTAAAACAACCCCAAAACCGTATATGCACAACCCAATCCTCGAAAGCCCAACAACCCAAGATATGCAAACCACTGCTTACAACAACTCTATCGACACCTTTTTTGGTTTGAAGGCAAGCGTTTCATCCCTAAGCCCTCAACCCTTTTTCCCCGGATCGTTTAGCAATAATCTAGCTTGGCAAATTGGCAAACAAAGTTTTAAAGGCTTGAAATCCCAAAGTTGCGAGGTAGGCGCTGCTTACACATAGGCGTCTTCATACGTGGAATAAAGCTTTGGGGGGATATTGAGGTTTAATTAGAATATTTATACTGTACTTGTTCCGGCTTGTACACTACATGCATGGGGTCTTCGGGCTCGGAAGCCTGATGAAGCCGAAGCTGTCGCGACGATGCGTCGCCGGCTTGGGCCCGCTGCAGCAGCACCTGGCGGAGCAGAACTTTGGCCGCCGAACTATTAATACAAAACATTGTGAAAAAGTAACCCTATGCCTCCAGGGACCTCGTTACGGGGTCCTTAAGGGGTCTCGGGCCCTAGGTCCTTGGAGGGATAGGGTAAGGTTCAGGGTGTAGGTTAGGACGTCAAAGGTACATTTCAGGATTGTGGCTTGTGTGGAGCGCTGTCTGCCATGGTCCTGAAAGCTGGATGTCTCTTGCACACGAGGAAGGCGAATTCCAAACGTCCCGAGGGCATCTAAGTGCGGCATGCCGGTTACATAAAGCAGTCAAACCAACCGTGCAAATAAAACTCAAGTGATATAGACTTAGCAGTAGCAACAACGATCAACTCACCCTAGCAGTTTCACTCTTTGAACTCATCACGGTTTTGGAGGCAAGCTCGCTAAGAAACACTCACTAGACACAGGAAGGACGACCAGAATTTCACAGTGGGACAGTGGACGAACACGACCAACACAACATCGTGGGGCAACAGCAGCAACGACGAACACGAGGATGGTTCCGACTACACTTGTGCAGCTCACTACTGCTCCTGCTGCTGCTGCTGCTACTGCTGCTGCTGCTACTACTCCTGCTGCTACTGCTACTGCTACTGCTACTGCTACTGCTACTGCTACTACCACTACCACTACCACTACTACTACTCCTACTACTACTCCTACTACTACTACTACTACTACTACGACTACTACTACTACTCCTACTACTACTACTACTACTACTACTACTACTACTACTACAACAACTACTACTACTACTACTACTACTACTACATCGGGAGTACTACTGCGTCTGCTTCTGCTTCTGCCTCTCCCCTAAACCCTTGGACCCCTCACAGCAACCCTTGAGTCCAACACCCACTTCTTCAGTAACCGTGCCCCAAAAGTTTCAAACATGGACCACATATGCAGGGCCTAAAAAACATGGGGCGTTGCAACAATACTTGTATCAACATCGAAACGGTATCGCCACCGAACCGTATCCACATCGTAAAAAACGACATCGCACAAATCGACACAGCATGCCGCCGCATCATGGCCTGGGGATTCAAGGACGATACAAGCTGCCAGCCTCTGGGTGTGTCTAGATCTGGAAAGGGATATCGAGCCACACCGCACTGCCTAAAGCAATAACAAACAATATTGTACCGCATACAATCGCTAGCAACCGCACACCGATCGAACCTAGAAACTTTGCAGTTCTCCATTGGCCTTACACTGCTCTTACAACCCTATAATCCGTAAACACCGGAAACTAATCCCTAAACCTTACACCCATGAAGGATCCCTGAAAGGAACCCTTACAACAACCCTGAACCCTACACCCTAAACCCTGCAAACCCTTAACATCTAATGCCTAAACCTCATAATCCCTCAACCCCAAACCCTGATCCCTAAACCGAAACCCCTATCGTCCCTAAACCCTAAACCCTTGAAGGACCCCTTAAAGAAACCCTTACAGTGCCTGGGCCAGGCCCTCTGCACTCTTCGATAAGCCGCAGGTGCGGCCCTGACGCGGAGAGAGCCCTATGAGTCCATTGTACCCAGACCTTCCAAAATCCCTTAATTAAGGAATATACCTTAAATCATATTAGGGATCCTACTATGATTTAAGGTATATTCCTTAATGGATTTTGGAAGGTCTGGGTTGTAGTAAAGTAGAAGCCAGAAAGTTGGAACATGGATTTAGGAGGACTAGTGCTAGGATCCCCTATACTTTACCTTAAGGGCATGGGGAGAATGATGTTCCAACTTTCTGGCTTCTACTGTAAGGGCTGAGGGTTGAGAGTTTAGGGGCTTAGGATTGTAGTAACGGCTTAGGGTTGGGCGTTTAGGATTTTAGAGGTTTAGGGTTCAAGGCCTGGGGGTTGATGGTTTAGGGGGGCTTAGGAATTCGGGTTTTGGGGTATGGCTTTGAAAGTTTTTGTTGAGGGTTTTGGATAGTGGCTTTGGTTTGGAAGGTTTTTGAAGGCTTGATTTAGGATACTGTTTGAGAATTGGGTTAAAAGTATAGGGGGGGTATTGGAATTAAGGTTGTGTAGGGTTAAGGGATTAGAGTTTGGGCGTGATAGGGTTTCCGTTATGGCTTTGTAGGGCTTTATGCTGAGATTTATGCACCTGAACAGCTTGTAAACGAGGCCTTCAGGAGGAACAAAGTGTATACTATATGGGAGTTTCCGAAATAGGGGACCCTGATATAGTACGCTAAATAGTAGGATCCTTATTATAAGGACCCCAAAACAAGGTACCCCTAATTTTCGGAAACTCCCATCCATACATATATATATATATATATATATGTGCATTGACCCTTCCGCCCTCAAGGAAAGTGGAAGACTTGTGGGCTTGGGGTTTTCCAGGACTTATGGGGTCAGGTTGTAGGGTTTAGGGTTTACGGTTTAGGTGGAGGTGCATGGGTTAGTTCTAAGTTAAATCAGGAGGGATTTTGGAGTATTACGTGGTATTTCTTGGCTGTGGTGTGTGTCGAGCACACAGCTATCTGCCCGGAGATAGCCTGTTTATGCGGATCCTGCAGGATAACCTTGACGGCCTGCACGAACTCGTCCCGTTGTACCACTATCACTTCGGCCAGGCGCTTGGGCGCCCTGACGGTGGTACCCAGGCTGGCGGCGGTCCTACTGGCTCGGTGGGCCGCAGCGTGGACCGGCATCCGCTTGGGATTGGCCTTGGGCGTGCATGGCCGGTGGCCCGCCGAAGATGCCAGAGTCGACGAGATAAGGGAGCAGCTTGCCGGCCACGCTCCAGAAACGCTCTCCAAGATGAAATACCCTAAGGCTCCATGTACCCATATAGTAAATACTTAGGCCTTAAAGTACCTATATAGAGACCCCTTTAAGGCTTAGGTATCTTACTAAAAAGGTACATGGAGCCTTTGGGATATTGAGGCTTCAGGTGCACAAGGGACTCGAAGGCATCATCGAATTTGGCCGCAGTCCCACACCCCTCCCTCAACGGGTTCGCTTCGAACCTCGCCGGGTTGAGATCGCTGTTGGTGTTGCAAGAAAACCCTGCGGCGAACAACGTGCCCTTCTCCCCAGGAAGCTTGCAGGCTGACGTGTTCGCCCGGATGCCCTGAAGGATTCTATGACCGACTTCCGGCTTCTTTGTTTTATATCACGTCTTGTCAGCGTTGGTCCCTCATTGCAAACCTGAAAAGCGGTAATTACCTCAAAGTCAATCCCAGTGGGGTGAGGCTTGCCTGGTTTATGTTCTTGAAGCCACCTCTGGACGGTGTCTAAATGGAGTACCGAGATGGCACTATAGGCCGGGATTTGTGGACCATCACCAACTTGTCGAGGACATTGTGAAGTAGGATAACTATATTTATAGCCTGCCTCAGGAGACTTGTTACCCATGAACCTCCAAGTACGGCTTTCGAGTTCGAAGGTTTAGGCTTTTCCGGGCTTTCGGATTTAGGTATCAGTCGGAGGCCTCAGAAGGTGGGATATTTGGGAATATCCCACCTACCTTCATCCCATCTTTTGAAGGCTCCGAATCAGAGGGTAAGGGTCCTCAACCCAGACTTCCTGAACCTTCAAACGGATTAAACCAAATCGAACAACAACTCTTAGGACTGTAAGCTTTAAAATGCCCGTCGAACTCTAGGCCGGAAACCTGAAATCCTGCAACCCAAACCGCTAAAAGCCTAAAACCTATGTTAAAGTTGCACAACAGCTCACTACATGTTGACCCAAGAAAGCTTGGAGTTTGAGCCGTTGAACCCCTGCAGTGTGTCTACATGAGTCCTCACAGCCCTCAGAGCGTAGAATAATGATGCTACGGGAGCCTGAACAACTACCTCTCAAACACACCTGCCCATACTATCCATTTGAATGGCTGCTGCCAGAATCTTGCTGCCTTCCTGGAGGATCCTAACTGTTGATGATATAAATCCTGCATTACCTGTAGGATTCTAGACTGTGGGAATTATGGTATATTCCTTATTATGGGTAATGCAGGATTTATATCACCCACCGTAAGCATCCCGAAGCTGAACCGTAAGCATAATCAGGCTTACCGAGCGAAAGAACTACATGGGAGAGTACAGGCGAGCAGTGAGCATGTCGGCCTCCCGGAACAACAGCTCTGCCTGACATGCCCGTAACCCCTATATGATGAATGGAGTTTGGGGGTTTAAGGGTTTAGGGTTTAGGTGTAGGTTTTAACTTTAAGCCCTAAATCATCGGAGAAGGATCTGTTATGTACTTAGCTCTGTCTTCTCTAAGGTTAATCAGAAAGTAGTTGATGGTTTACACGATCTTAAAGCTCAAGTTTTCGAGACATGCGATATTGTTGTTCAAGGTGTGAGCTGGCAACGCTGCGCATCATTTACATATGGAAGCAAGCAAACTCCAGATGCCAAAAATGAAGGCCCTAAGGATTGAATCCTATTCTCTCAGATCTTGGATAGTTAAATTTAAAACTCAAACATTTTGGGTGTTTCGGGCAATTTCGGGCTGCGGTCTGTGCCCGAACCCTAAAAGGACTCGAAACTCCAACTTGCAGCTTGTAGAACCTACTTTTCAGAGGTCCTTCCATTACAACCTATATACAGTATATACATGTGTATATATATATATGTATACATGCATATATGTATATATATATATACACAAATAAATACAAACATACATACATACATATAATCGTGCATACATACGTACATGCATACATACGTACATAAATACATGCATGAATGCACGTATGCATGGGTATCCATATGCAAGCCTCAGCAAGTGCCCACGATACTTGCTCTGTGTACTGAGTCTACACGGTATCCGCTTTATGATTTACGGTTTCAGGTTTTGCCCAGAGAACCCAATACCCCTTAATTAAGGAATATGGCTTAAATCATACTATGAAGCCCTATATAATATAAGCCATATTCCTTAATTAAGTATCTAAACCCTAAACCCTAAACCCCTAAACCCTAAACCCTAACCCCTAAACCCCTAAACCCTAAACCCCTAAACCCTAAACCCCTAAACGGTTTCAGGTTTTAGGGCTTCCATAGCTGACAACAGTCACCGTTTCCTTTTCACTCGCCCGAAGCCCGGAACCCGATGACCTGGGAGAAAAACCTTGAAAGCACACAGCCTTCTCTACTATTTGCTTAAGAACACCAAAAAAATTAAAAAAATAATAATCCCTATATTATCCCTATAAGGAATGTATTTCTATTTTTTGGGGGGCTCTTAAGCAAATAGTAGTTCTTCCCAAAACAAGAAAACCTGGAGGGCAGGTTGCTAGAGATTTGGATTTGGGTTTAGGGGCCAAGGGGGCTTAAAGACCCAGTGATTGGGCCTGGTAGTTCGGTTCTCTAGTTACTAACCTCAATCCTAAATCCTAAACCATAGATCCTACCTAAACCCTAAACCCTAAACCCAAAACCCTAAACCCTAAACCCAAAACCCAAAACCCAAAACCCAAAACCCAAAACCCAAAACCCAAAACCCTGAACTCTAAGCCGAAACCCTAAACCCTGAGTCCTGAACTCTAAGCCGAAACCCTAAACGCCTTTCCTTAAAACAAACCTGGGCGGTGAGTACTTCAGGGAGAGAGCCTCGAGTTTCGCGTCCATCCAGGGATCCCGGTATAAGAGATGTAATCTGCCGGATCTATAGGGTTTAGGGTTAGAATAAGAGTTCCTATAGGGACTCGATAGGGTTTGGGGTTTAGGGGGGCTCAGGGAAGTAAGGGACTACAACTCGAGCAGGAATGCTGGACCGATCCAGACGCTTTTCAGGAACCTACTTGAGCCCACCAACCAGTGATCTTGGGGTGACTAAGCAACAGCTGTTCCCTCAGTAGTGTAACATAGTACAAACTAAGCTCACCAACACGAGGTTGGCCCTCTAAGGCCCGGATTTGTGCAACATGCCAGCTCGAAACAGCTGCTGCCTCCTGCAGCAGCACCTCCTCTCCTTTGAAAGCATTCGCCCGCGGCCTGGACGATCGGGTGGTTGCTGCAGTACTACAGGGCCACTCGGAACCCTGCCCGTAGCCAAAAAATCTTACAATTTTCTGGGTTCCTTATTATGGTTTGGAAATACAACACCTCAAAACGGGATGTATTGTTGGGCCAGAAAGCCTGTTCCGAAAAAAACCCTTTGAAAACATAACGAAAAGAGACACCAGCCGCCCTGAAGCCCCTAAACCCTAAACTCACCGCCCTTCAAATCGACGTCACCGCGACTTCGGGACCTTGAATCTCAAGCACCAAACGGAAGCATCAAGCCCACCTTCTTCGGGTTCAGGGGTTTTAGGGATTTGGGGTTTTAGGGGCTTTAAGGTTTTCTGGTTTAGGGGGTTTGGGGCTTTGGGGCTTGAGGGTTTTAGGGTTGAGGGCTATAGAATTTAGGGCTTTCGGATTTTAGGGTATCGGAGTATCGGGATCGGACTGCGGTCAAGTCTGTCTCGACGTCGGACTGCCATGTTGGCAGAGCACGTGACTTTCAAAAGGGCAAAAACTCTAGGATTTTAGGTTTTAGAGTTTGGGGCGTATTGGGGCTTGGCAAATGAAAGGGTCTAATGCTTGAAGCTACAGCGGCTGGTAGCAAAGGCAAGCAATTTAGGTAGACACCCCAGGCATACCAGCATGGCTTCAGAAGCACAGAAGCGACATGAGCCGGTAGAAAGTAAGGGCAGCCCCACACCTTCAAGTTCCATAAAAGATGAACATGCAAATCTTTTCCCAAAGCCGTGGACTGCAGCATGAGGGCGGTGGTCTTGCGGACTCCTGCAAGCTGTGACATCCATGCGTGTCCGCTTGTCAGCTTGCAGTGGAGAGCTTTGTGCAGATGAGCGAGCGCGCCTTCGACAGGGCCGACTGAAAGATCACTTTAGTCATGCCTTGCAGGTACGAGTTCACCAGTTGCGTGTCGCTGTCCACATATTCCGCGCCGTCAATTGACGCTCCGAACAGGGCCACAGACAGCGGCTCTGCCGATGCTACTGCAAAGTGTAGGACTGCAGATGAAAATAAGTCCCCATGATCTGGGTTGCTATTCCTTTTCTTTGCAAACCAGCTAGTATTGCTAGCATCCCTGACGCAACTTACAACCAAGAGAGAGAATCGAATGGGTAATGAACCCCTAAACCTGAAAACCCGATGAGCCCGAAACCCAAGGAGCCCCGCCAAAATTACCTTGGCACCTGCTACCACCGACAGCCCCCCCAACCCACCGAAACAGACTTCTAAACCCTCAACCCTGTAGGCCCTACATGGGAGTTTCCGAAAAGAGGGGACACTCATATAGCAGTCTAAATAGTAGGATCCTCATTCTAAGGACCACAAAGTACACCTAGTTTTCGGAAACTATCACATCCCAAACTCCAACCCCAAGCCCCGGACTTAAGCCAAAAATGACATTGGCCTTAATGTAGTCCCTATTTGGGTACTTTGGGGCCCATGTATCTCTATATAATATGGGTACATGGACCCTTAGGGAACCCTAATCCCTAAACCCTAAACCCTACACCGAAGCCGGGGCTGAGACTGGGGGCAGCTGGAGAGGCTTTGGCCGTGCTGAATGAGCAGAACTTCACCCAGTCGCCTAGGGTTTTTAGGGGTTCCAAAAAGGAAAAGGAGGGACCCTTTAAAGGGATCTATAGGGATTCTATAAGGGTATAGGTATAGGGTTTACGGTTTAGGGGTTGGGGGTTTAGGGGGTTTAGGGGAAAAGGAGGGACCCTTAATGGGGACCCCTAGCCTATAATGGGCTATATAATGGGTATATAATAGATATATTAAGGGTATAGAGGCTTTTACTTGGAGGATCATGGGACTTAGTAAGTAGGGTTATAAGTTATAAGTACCCTAATTGGGGTTATATGTAATTATAAGTATAGTCACCCTAATGATAACCCTAGTTACTAAGTCCCATGACACTTTAAGTAGGGTTTGGGGCTTAAGGTTTACAGGGTTTAGGGTTTGGGGTTTGTTGCTGCAGCGGGTGTATACGAGTCGAAATACATGGATCTAAAGATGTGCATAAGGTTTGGGAGTTTCAGCTTTTGGGTTTGTGGTGTTTAGGCTCTTTGGGGGGTTAATTGAGCTTTAAGGTTCAGCTAGCCGGACGCAGACAATCCGGAAGTAAGAGCATCGAAGGTGCAACATTGTCGGTATCTCGGGTTTGGGGCCGTGAGCGCGAAACCCTCAAACCCCAAAACCGAGCGAGACTCCAGAGAAAACCCCGCAGTAACGGTGCGAAGGGTAGAGTAGTTTACGGCTTAAGAACTCCAAGCTCAGACCCGAAACTCTAAAGCCTCAACCTCAACTAAAGCCTCTGACTCAGAAGCTCAAGTTCGAAGCTCAACTTCACGACAAAAGCCTGAAGTAAAAGGACAAAGGAGCGGCGTAGCACTTGACCTTGAACTACCAAACCCTACCTTTTTGTGAGACTGTGGGTTTTCTTTATGTGAGGACTTATCATGTAAGGAAATCATAATCCGGGGAACCATCCGCAGCTAGGTTCCTCGGGGTTCAGGTGCACCGCAGACCCTATACTTATACCCTAAACACCAACATTTTAGGGGCCGCAGGGTGTGTAGCGGGATAACTATCGTCACAGCCTGTATTGGGGACTTACTACTTGGAGGGTCGGGGGAATTAGTAACTGGTTATTTTGGGACTTATAAGTACCATAACCCCAGTTAGGGTCCCTTTTAGGGTACTTATAAGTCTACTTTCTACCTACTTACTAAGCCCCGACCCTCCAAGTAACCCCAGTTGCGACTTCTAACGGGGCTTACTACCCAGAGGCTCCCTAGTAGTTCCTTTTTGGGGTTCATATTTAGAGTCCTATAAGGTAATTTGGAGCCTTTGGGTAACCCCAGTAGTGACTTCTAACCTAGAGGTTCATACCCTGCCCTTTGTTTAGGATACCTAGTTTTATGGTTAGGATCTGTTATCTTAAAAATTAGGCACCCTAACAAAGGGGTAGGGTATGAGCCTCTAGGTAAAAACCTCCAACTACTGTCAGGCCAAGCTTCTCTGCTAAAGCCAAGCTATCAGGATGCCTCGGATCGGTGGCTTGCGTGTAGGGTTTCTGGGTTTAGGGGTTTAGGGTTTAGGGTTTAGGGGTTTAGGGTTTAGGGGTTTAAGGTTTAGGGTTTAGGGGGTTAGGGTTTAGGGGTTTAGGGTTTAGGGGTTTAGGGTTTAGGGGTTTGAGGTTTAGGCTTCTTTGCATGGTCATGGCAAGTCTTCAGCAAGATATGAAGTAACTTCAGAGAAAAGACCACACACTTGCAGATCATAATGGTTCCCTCAAGCAGGGTCCAAACAGATATTTAAAGTAAGCCCGGTTCTTACATGATCAGCTCCCAAAGCTTTATCCAGGGCTTACAACGAGTGTCAAAAACAACAACTCACGAAGCTGCTAAAGGTTGAGAACTTGTATTGAAGAATACCTTTGCTGCATGTGTGTGTTTCCCGAGCATGCGGTAGCCAAAGGCGGTTGAAATATAATTGGGATCATGGTGATCATTCCTAGTACCGTCACTGCCGCAGTACGTAAGCCCGCCTAAGGTGTGGGCTCAAGGATTTATTGAGGATTTTACCTCCTATTGATGTCGAGGCCAATGAATGGACATTGCTATGATGTTGGTACTTGCGGAGAAGGCCACCCGGTCTGCGAAGTTTATGGTCGAGGGTTATAGTTTGGCGAAAGCCAATGAATGATGAACCCTGCAAGGATGACGCAGAGCCCTGCACAGTTCCCCTCATCTGCAACTTGTGGATTCCCAAGTCGGGAACCCAGCCTTTATCTTAATAACGGACGACGCTACGGCCTTGTCTGCACATGCAGTTCTAATGAACGTGGGCTGCGGATGTTCAGTGCCTCCTATGCTGTACGTGTTCAGGACGTAAGGACAATACTTGTCCAACTCTGTGGCCGTGGCACTCGGCATGGCGCCCGAAAGCTGAACGGCTGCGATGCATCATAACCCGCCTAGACCCATAGCCCCTGAACTCTCAACCCTAAACCCCTCAACCCAAAACCCCTACCTCCTTACCCTAAACCATATATACCCTAAGCCTCTCCGGCCTGGGAAAGTGAAACCTGAACCCTTGCAGGGCTGTTTTCACCGAGTAAAGACCCATTACAAACCCCTACTCTGCCCATGTAGAATCAGAACTGACTGGTAGAAGCCCAGTTCTACCTTATAACTCTAAATCCCTAAACCCTGTTAATCTAGACCCTTATGACTCTAAACCCCTAAACCCGATGAAAACCTAAAACTCCCTATACCCTAAACCCAAAATCAAAACACTAACACCGGACCGAGCCGCGATGGGCTTAGCCCAGTCTGTCTTCGCGCTCGGCGCAGGGTAAACTCAGCCAAGGAAAGTCGTCCGGCAGCCTTAGCTTAGGTTTAAGGTTTAGGGTTCGGGGTTTAGGGCTTACGCCACGATGTAGGATTGAGATCCACCGGTGCGTGTTTGGAGTTTCCATCTTACAGCTTGTCGGTCTATCGTTGGAGCATTTAGGGCTCAAATCGTTGAGGGTCATACTAGGGGTACTAAGCTTTTAAGATTGAATCAGAGGAGTATCGGATCGGGGCTGATCTTCAAGCGGGCTCCAAATCAACGTAACAACATATGTAAGCATGAGCTTGGCTACCAAACTGTCCAACTGCTCCAGGAATTCGAGGTCTGGTAACCCTAAACCCTAAACCCTAAACCCTCAGGTATTTGACATTTGCTGCCGCCAATACTCTGATTGGCGTTTCCAGGGTCTCCGAGTTCAGGGCCAAGAGCGGCAAACATGGCTTTGCTGCGTTGTCGTAATGTAGGGGCCTTCATGATTGGAATTGGGTTTTGGGGCCCATTATACTACAATCATATATTCTGGAACCCCGAGAATAGTATAGCCAGGCCCCTATAAGTATCTGCAAGGGAACTTTGCATGACTGGAGCCATTGCAGTTACTTGCAGGTGTGCTCGAGAAGCACCCTCACCTCAGAGAGTGCCCACCGTTGATCATGGCGAAATGCCGAACCCTCAGCCGTAACCATTCAACGCTGAACCGTAGCTAGTCCGTTCAAAATGGCCCAAAAGCCTGATATAGTATGGTCTTCGGGCCCAAAAACCTTAATATACGAGTCCTTGGAGCCTTAGGGTAAAAGATCCTAAGCCTTTACCCATCAGTCCATACGGAGTCCACAGCCGACCAGCCACACTGAACCAGAAGAGCATCCAGGGCACCTGCAAAACGCGGGCAGCTACCAAAGCGAACCGAGGCGTAGCATAGCCTTGGCTGCCGTGGAGCCAAATGAAGGGGTTGACGGTTGACGTGTTTCAGGGCTCACTGGAGACCTGATTACTGAGCTGGCCTTTAGAGCCCTTTGAAGAAAATTAGTATATATGGGGTTCGTATAAATAAACCCAATTAAGGAATATTTTCAAGTAACCCAAAGGCCGACCAAGATAACCTGCCATTTTAACCCTGAAAGGCTTTGTGTTGTCGGGGCTTGGTCACGGAACCCAGATAATAAGATACCCTCAACCAATCAAGAGCCTTGACAATGCTAGGGATCATAATTCAGGAACCCTCAACGCCCCTACGACCAAAGATACCAGTTTCAAGTTTGCCCCCCCACTCCCAACAGACCCACTCCAAAACCCAGCTTAACGTACTTGTTTGTAGGGCGCCAATGAATAGCATTTAGTTAATATAGAAGTTGGAGGGACCCTACAAACAGTATGTTTGGTATTTCAGCTTCAACCCTATGACGTTACTAATAAGAAGAATACTATGCAGTGCAAGGGGCCGACTCCGTCGAAGCGGCTTAAACAGTCCTTCGACGATGCGCAGGGATGTTCCTTTATTTTCAAAAAATCTTATGACGGCGCCAAAACCGGTTCCTCTTCCCGGAAGGGATCGTTTAAGGAACTTATAGGGGCTCCTACAAGGGATTTAGATTATAAGGTTTTAGCTAAGGCACTTTGAAGGTTCCAAGGGTTCTATAGTAAGGGACTGGAACCAGGGTTCCTTTGAGGGTTCTGTAAGGGTGCTATCGGAGTTTCAAGGTTAAGAGTTTCGGGAAGTAGAATGTATCAGTTTGCGAATGTTCCTCGCAACTTCCGGAATTTCAAGATGTGTTTCGGGCATTGGGGGGGTTGCAAACCCTTTATTTGGGCTCCGAGGGTTTGTAAGACTGCCATCCTGGCTTTTAGTGCTATTGTACGTTGGTCTTGGAACTTATGATTCCACCCGGCTTGAAGTAGGCTCGACTCTACTTGGAGGATCATGGGACTTAGTAAGTAGGGTTATAGTTACCCTGATTACAACCCTAGTTACTAAGTCCCATGACCCTTTAAGTAGGCCAAGTTAGGGTCAAGGCTTGAGATCTGAAAAGCTCAAGAGTTCATTGCAAGAAGTGGGAGGCTTTCAAAGTTCACGGCCTTACGGTACCTACTATATAGCAGAGCTGTGAATGGAACCTCTTCAATGACTCACAGTCGAATATCAACTTAGTTGCTGAGTTCAGCAGCCCCCAAAGCGTGTACACTTTTAGTTTTATAGTGGGTGATATTATCCCAAAAAGTGTATCCACTCAGCTACTAAGTCAAGGAAAGCGATTCTAGACTCCGGCGGAGCTTCGTGTTGGGTCTCAAAGCCTTGAGCCCCGAATTAAGCTAGTTCAGGGTTGGAACAGGATGCTCATGTTCGTTCCTTATTGGGTTTAAGTACCCACAAAGATGTAAAATGTTACCCAATTATGACAAAGTAAGCGCTTAACCCTCAACCCGCAGCACCCAAAACACAACAGAAACCTTAAACCCTAAACCCTACCTGTAGCCGAAAAGACCTACCTTTTTAAGGAACTATATCTATGTATATACATATAGAAACCAGAAAAAGGACCTTTTTAAGGAACTATATATATATATATATATATATATATATATATAGAAACCATAAAAAGGAACCGCAAAAAGGTAGCACCTTTCGGCTACAGGTATACCCCAAAGCCTAAATCCCAGGTGTGTACTCTGAACGGTTTGTTGGCGCATGAAGCCCTCCTGGGGTCTAGCCTAAACCCTGAACCCTACTACACCTAAGCCCGAAATCCTGAACCGTATTATTCAAGGGTAAGAGGAGGGACCCTTAATAAGGACCCCTAGGTATATACCCTTAATAGAGCCACCCATTATATAGCCCATTATAGGGTAGGGGTCCCCATTAAGGGTCCCTCCTTTTCGCCTTTGATAGTAAAGCTGAGCCCTACCCTTAAAAGGAATTCTGCTCTAACGATGCAGGCCGTAGAACCCTACAACCCTATAATCCCTAAAAGCCCTGAACCTTTTGAACTTTGAACCCGATGAGGCCTAAAATCCTGAAGCCCTCGACCCTGAATCCCATGAAGCCTTCCTTTTGGGTTCCCTAAGTTTCTTCTTTCTTCATACAGTAGACCCCATAAAGTTGGAAAGGTTAGGGCCAAATAGTGCCGGGATTCCCTATACACTACTCTTAAGGAATGAGGCTATTGGGTTTCCAACTTTTTGGCTTCCACTGTATATACCCTTAAAACGGTATGTTATTTGTGGCTAAGGTAGGCCCTAAACCCCGCAACCCTAAAACACCAAAGCCTAAACCCTGAACCCTAACACCCTACAAGCCCTAAGCCTAGACCCCAAAACCCTAAACCCTGTACCTAAAACCGTGTACCCTAAAACCCTAAAGCCCTACGCCCTTAACCCCATGAAGCCTTGCTTTCCCAAAGGCTCCATGTACCTTTATGGTAGATACTTGGGCCTTAAAGGGGTCCCTATATAGGTACTTTGAGGCCTAAGTATATACTATATGGGCACATGGAGCCTTAGGGATCATGCAGCCTTTCTTTGCCCCTAAGGGTCCATGTACTCATATACTATATACATTGGCCTTAATGTAGTCCCTCTTTGGGTACTTTGGGGCTCATGTATCTCTATATGGGCACATGGACCCTTAACTCCCTAAACCTCAAACCCTAAACTGCATGAGCCCTAAGCCCTAAACCCTTCAAACTCTCTAAAGCCCTGAAGCCTGAAACCGGAACCCATATACGAAATGGGTACATGGACCCTTAGGGTTGCAGCCCGAGAGTCGGCCGCTTCGCGTGCGCGCCCGGCCGTGCAGAGGAGAGCTGCCAGATTCGATGCAGTCCTGGGTTGACTGGGGGTTCCGGGGTTTAGGGTATATATGGTGTGGGGTTTAGGATTCGGTGGTTCGGGGTAATAGTGACTATAAGATTATTATATTAGGGCCCTATTACATTCCTATTATGCCACTATTACAGGGTGGGGCCCCTTCTTGGTGGTTCGGGGTTTAGGGGTTTAGGGTTTAAGGGCTCAGGGTTTACGGGCCAAAGTTTACGGGATTAAAAAGCTCTCCTTGGAGGTTCATGCATGGTTCAAGGTGAAGTTTTTCGTTCCTTAATACAGGCTATAACTTTAGTTATCACACTCATAAACCTACTTAGAACTTATAGCTACCCCTGAACCTCCAAGTAGGCCTTACTTGGAGGATCATGGAGCATAGTAAGTAGTGTAAAGAACCAACGCAACTACGGATATACTTACTTATAACGCCAGTTGTGGAACTTATAGCCTTAGTTACAAGAACCTCCAAGTAGGGTTCACCGCTTAGGGTTTTTGATGTTGCAGGGCTCAGGGAGCATCCGTTTGAGCAGGTTTTAGGGTTTAGGGCTTTTAGGGCTTATAGGGCTACATCGTTTAGGAGTTAAACGCTTTGGTTTAGGAGGGTTTGGGTTTTGTAGGGCTTATAGGGTTTGGGGAGTTTAGAATCGTTGAGGGCTTAGGGAGTTTGGGGGCTTGTGAGTTTTACAGGTCTTAGACAGCTTTGGGTTCAGGGTTCAGGGAGGGGGGTAAGGAAACAATGCAAAACAACACATCCGCTTGAGGTAAGGCATACTGAGTGTACTTCCTATCCAGCAAATTTCAAGATGCCAGGGTGTTGGGCTAGCTAGCAGTTTGAGGGGTCTAGGGCAAACTTAGTATTGGGATCCCTGCCAAAACCTTTAAATTCAGGGACGCCAGTTACTGAAATCCGGGCGTTGGTGAGCTCAATTTTGGAGAACCCTCGAGAACCCATAAAGCACACCATCTTAGGGTTTAGGGGGGTTCCTTTAAGGGTTCCCTTGAGAGCTCTCTGAGGGTTTAGGACTTTAGGCTTTTAAGTTTAGGGACCCAAGACCCCCAAAGGCCCTTTAACAGAGCCCTCATGGCCCTCAAGAGTGGGTATTTGGGACATATTAGAGTGGCGGTCTACATTAAGGCTTATACAGTTTATAGGGTTTCGAGTTTAGCGTCTAGGTTTCAAGGTTTAGTCGTAGGGTTAAGGTTTAAGGGATTTAGGGACCAGAGCAGCGGGGTGTTGGGTCGGGGTTTAAAGGTGAGGGTTTAGGTTGCTAGGTGTGAAATGGAAGCCGGGAAGGGAGCTACTACACCATACTTGGAGGGTCGAGGGACTTAGTAAGTAGAAATTTATAGGCTTATAAGTACCTTAATTGGGACCCTAATTGAGGCTTATAATATGGATCATAAGGGCCAACGCCCTTTCCGAGAGAGCCTTTGCAAGGCCCGTATGCAGCCCAGTCGTCGCCCGCGCCCTTTCCGAGAGAGCCTTTGCAGGGCCCGTGTGCAGCCCAGTCGTCGCCCGGGCCCATCCAGTGGCCCCCACCACACCACTTGCCGTGGCCCCAGTCGCCCTTGCCAGGCCACCACATGGCGCCCAAGGACACTCAACTACTTACTAAGTTCCCCGACCCTCCAAGTAACCGGCCTGCTGTCAAGGGAAACTCTTAGGCTCCCTAGAACCCTAAACCCTAAAACCCCTAAAACCCCTGAACCCTACACCCTAAAATCTAAAATCTAAAACCCTAAAGCCCCTGAACCCTACACCCTAAAATCTAAAAACCCCTAAAACCGCTGAACCCTACACCCTAAAACCCCAGAACCCTTCCACCCTAAAACCTAAAAACCCCTAAAACCGCTGAACCCTACACCCTAAAACCACTAAATCCTAAACAGGTTTATAAATCATGGGATTCGGGATCAGCCTTCAGGGCTTGCCGTGGTACGAAGAAATCTTTCAATCTGGCAGTAAGATGTGGTGAGCTCATACGGGGATTTAGGGTTTACCCTATGCCTCCAGGGACTTTATTATGAGGTCCTTAAGGGGTCTAGGGCCCTAACTATGAGGTCCTCGGAGGGATAGGGTTTGGGGTTTAGATGTGGTGAGCTGATACGGGGATGCTAAAACCCTACCGGTCCATGTGCCCAAATTGTACATACTTTGTTTTGCCCTAAAGCACCTAAAGGGGCGACTGTCAGGCCAAAGTATATCCTATTTGGGTACTTGGACAGGCATGCAAGCTGATCACAAACCACGCTAGTCTGCAACATGATGTTGCTCCCGGCCTACATCCTGAAAATACCCTAGACTCAAAAGGGATGAGGTGTGCTTGACACTTTAAACAACCCTCAAGCCTTAAAGCCTTGTCCTATAGAGATGTGAAGCCTCAGAGCCTTAGAGATCAAAGTCAATCGCGCCAGAACACGACAATTCTTTCACGCGTTATTCCAGCCCAGTATCTTACTCGAAAGTGTCATAAAGCCCCATATCAACACCCTTACATGTTGCGGGGTCTATTCCTGAATCTAGGGGCTTGGGAGTCTCAAATATGCCGCCACAAGTGATCCTACTCGCTTCAGTTTCGGCTTTGCAAGCAGACGTCCACAAGTCACGCCGTTCAGAAAATGCCGGCGCACAAATCCAAGGCAACAACTGGAACCATAACAACAACAGCAGCAAGGTGTCTAGAGTTTAGATCCTTTTAGGTCCACGTTGCGGGATGCACACGTTTGTAGGGTAGAGCCGCAGCAACAACAACAAATGTACAATCCTGTCGGACACGCCACAGGGGTTAGAAGTTCGACCTGTCCGAACTAATAAGCCCAAGGGTCCATGTACCTATATTCTGTATATGCTTGACCTTAAGAGCGGCTTTTCTGCCTAGGTATATACCATTTCTACATGTCTATAAACATGTGTAGACATATCGATGTACACATAAACACACACACACACACATATATATATATATATATACATATATATATACACACATACAAACCATATGGGCACATGGACCATCAGGGAAAGTTTCGGGCTTTCGGGCGTTTGAGGCAGCACCCAGACCCCAAACTGCTCACTTCAGACGCAATATTCTGTGTCAGACAAGACATGACGGGGTCTGGGTAAGTAAGAAGTGGGGCGATCATCTTTGTGATGTCACTGTGACTTTCTCGATTCGTGACTCAAGGCTCAAGATCACTCCAACCTGTTTGCTCGAAGGTGCGCCTACAGTGTCTAGTAGAAAGTAAAAGCTGGATCCACGTTCGGGCTGAATACACATGCAAGCTGGCTTGCGTCAGGCTCAAAGAACCCGACACAGCACGCAGCATACCCATATCCTCTCAAAATGCACGAACGATGAACAACAGGGTAATGCTATTTGCAATTGGGTGTTTGGTAATGTTGGCCCTGAGTCTCGATCGGGGTGCCGTGTGCGCGGCTTTCAAACTTAATTAAAGTCCCTTCTGAGACCAGACTTGAGACAACTACCCACGTAGACTCCAGCACTGCTACTAGAGAGCCCAGTGCACCCCGAATGCAGGAATCTGCCACCAACGATAGCACGAAGAACTCGAGTCCGGCATTTTCTGAACATACGAGAGCTTTGGGACCTAGTGTAGAGAGTGCATAGTAGAAGACCCGCGTTGGGGTTCATAGACATGATGTGGTATACCTATAGTCTAGTCTCCGTTGTAATTCTTTTTGGGGTTACCTTATAGGATCCTTAGTATATAATTGGTTAAACCAAAAAAGGAACTACAAAGGAGACCACAGGTAGATTCCGAATGTTTAGAGCATCCTGCTTTCTTCGGTGCTCTTGGACTCTCTGAATTGATACTCAGCCTGCACCAAAAGACCCCCTGCCCGCTGAGAGGGTTAAGGGTTAAAGTTACTTTACTAGAAGCCAGGAAGCTGGAACATCAACATCCTCATGCTCTTGAGGTGCCGGAGAGCCCACTACCCCCTAAATAAGGAATATGGCTTAACTCAGAAGAAATGACCCTATATAATTGAAGCCATATTCCTCAATTAAGGGTTATTGGGCTCTCGGGGGTGAAGTATAGGGATCCAAGCACCAATCCTCCTAAAGTCATGCTCCAATTCCAACTTTCTGGGGTTTAACCCCGAAGCCTAAACCCTAAAGACCTAAACCCTAAACCGTTCGAAGTGTGAGGGCTCTTATGTTACAGGTCTTTGAAAAGAAAGCCCACCAGCGCATCCCTTAGACAAAGCCTTTTAGGTTCGGGGTTTACGATTTGGGAGTTTCCGAATATTAGGGGTACCTGGGGTCCTTATAATAAGGATCCTAGTCTTCAGGGTACTATATTAGGGGGAAACCTCCATTTGGGCTTTTGGTCCAACTTGTAGCTTTCAGTTAAGGTTTAAGTTTAGGAATGTTGAGGGTTTGGGGCTCAGGTTCTAGAGAGCATCTGATTCTGACTTGGAGGTTATGAGAAAAATCGAAGGGTTTAGGGCGTTTGGCTCTAAATTCTGATGCCTGCATTTGCATTGCATGGCGCTCTAAGCCATCCAGGCGTTTAGGATGAGGTGCTTGGGTTTCGGGTTTATGGCTATTCCAACTGCCTACTGGAAGGATCAGGGCCTTGGTAAGAGGTGCTTTAAGTAGGGTAGTTATCTCGAGTTGTAGCTATGTTGAACATTTTGTCCAGGTAGATAGTAAACACCTTACTTGCCGAGTTCCCTGACCCTCTACAGTAGAAGCCCAAAAGTTGGAAACCCAATAGCCTCGATCCTTAAGAGTAATGTAGAGGGAATCCCAGCACTATTTGGCCTTAATCCGGTTTCCAACTTTATGGAGATTACAGTAAACCCTAAACCCTAAGTAAACCCTACTTTAAAGGGATCTATAAGGAATTCCTTGAAAGGGATCTATATGGGGATTCCTTTTACTGCAAGTGGCTTGACGGGATTGATGCGAGGCAGGGGCCCTCAACAATTAGATACTGCTGATGGACAAACTCCTGCATTCCCCATTATTATAAGGA